TTTTTGTTTTAGTTGTTTGTTTGTGCAAAAAATCCCCTGACTTTAAAATTCATTTACGTTGTATAGCATGATGATGAGTGTGATCAGTGAACTAACTCTCTTTCAGTTGCTGTTGCTTTGTGTCGGTGTTTTAAGCTTTTATGTTCTCTCTTTCCCACATTACCCGCCCGTTAACATTGGCCCCTTCGCCGCGTTACTCTGCCATGTTTAGTGAATGATTGCGAACCCCTTTCTGTGAATTTCTTTTCTTTACGTTGTTTTTGCAATTTGTCTCGTGGTGTTAAAAGGAAAATGTTTAACGTGTTGATTCTATCGAATTTTTTTTTTTTTTTTTTTTTTTTTGCATCATGCTCAGCCAAGTTGCTTGCCTGCTAACCCGTCTGTTAGTTCGTACGTTTGTTCGCTCGTCTCTTATGAACGTATAAATATTCTTTGTTTACATTTGCTGAGTATGATAATGAAATAAAATATTGAAGAAACTATTTCGAAGCGTTGCTTTCTCGCGCTTTATAAACCAAGTAAAGTAAAAAAATTTGATAATAAGCTGACAAAAATTCAATAACAATTCATTTAATAAATTTATATATACTTCCAACTAAACAGGTACTGAGAAGAAATTAAAATGTAAGTAAATATCTGACGACAGATTGCTTCATTCATTCGCACAAACATTAATGTATATAAGACTGTTTTTATTATTATACCGACCACTGTAAGGTGAGGGTATATTTATTTTGTTTTTTTTTTTTTTTTCATAACGTATGTAATACCCAAAAGCAAGCTTCAGAGACCCTATAACGTATATATATTCGTGATCAGCGTGAAATTCTGAATGGATTTAGACTTGTCTGTCCGTCTGTGTGAGGCCGCATAAATGAAGACATCGACTTTAAGTTTGGTGAAAACATTGGGAGATTCGCACTCAAAAATCGGCCAAAACGGTCAGAGCAGAAGCCCGTAGTGGAGCATAAATCGAACGCAACTCCATTTTTCTTAACAAAAATTTGTGAGTTTTTGCTAGTTATTCAGAAATGATAAACGTTAGATATATGAAGTTTTCTATGCAATTAAATTAACCTTTTCTCATTTTCTTGGGCATTTATGCTTATGAATCGTAATGCAAAGAAGACAGACATGCTTCAGACAGAGTTAATTCTAAAATGAATGGGGTAGACACCACGATTACTTTTTTCTTAATAATACCTGCGATATGGGTATCAAATAAAAGAACTTGAGGAGTAGAATGTGCAAAGCCTAGTGGTGGATATGCGAGATTCGACCTCCGCCTTATAATAAAAAATAACTTTTTTATGAAAACTTTCTTTCCGTGCACCACTGTCCAAAAGTGACCTTTAGAATTAACTTTCTGCAGTTGATTCGAATGGGTTGGTGGAAACGAAAATTTGTCCTTTCCAATGCCATAATTGTGGCTTAACGATAGTAAGTGAGTAACACAGCATTCCAATGTTTTCCTTGGCTTTTTCTTGTAGACATGTCATGTTCCTGTCTTTATGCTATCCCCTTGCTGTCTTCCACTGGGGTCGGCAGTCAAGTCGCGTTGAGTTTGCGGCTGCCTACAGTGTCTGCGATTTTTTTTTGATTTCCAAATGAAAATTCATTCGATGAAAAACACGTTGCATCGAACAGTGCATTCAAAGAGGGAATAAATCAAAATATCATTGCGCAATGCACATATCTAATACAATTAATAGATAGATGTAATGACAATCTCCTAATCTTATTAATGACGGGAGTTCGAAAATGCTGGTAAAGGCAAATATAATTATTTTCCGTTCTCTTATAAACGCACAAAACAACACTGACGCAAAAGTTGGTAGAATTTAGTGCGCATTCGACGCAAACGGGTCCTTAGTCCAGCGGTATATAACGGGCTGTTTTGTTTTTAGGACTTTCAGTTAATTGTTATTGAGAAGGGGGTTATGAATTAAAAAGAGGAAGAAGACAATAGATGTAATGATACCATTTATGATATCATCCACCATATGAATTTTTTTCTTACAACTTGACGACTAAACTTTGTTTACCACTTCTAATAAGATAATGGTTCTATTCTAAGTCACAGCGAAACTTGCGACCTCCATCTGACTGCACCCCTATTCGTTTAACTGTGTTCTTGGAGAAATGTTACAAACATTGCAAAGTTATTTATAAAATTTCCCCTAACATGTCCATAATTCAAAGACGGGCTTGATCTTTTTTTCCATATATTCGCTTCAGGTGGATGTTCTGGCTAAATTATTTTTATTATCACATTGTCATCGCGTCAAATCCCTTCTAAATTTGACGAGTCGCATCTGGTGCATATGCATGCTCTTGGCATCCCATCCGTTTGACCGATAGTCGGCGGTTCCAACCTCGCCCTTGTCGATAATGAACTTAATAAAAAATAACTTTGCCTAAATGTCCGTAGAATAATGCCAAAAATCACTTTCAAAAAATGATCGTGACATGTGTCGAACTTTTCCAAGGTAGCACATACATAGAAATTATGAAATTGCTTACTAACATTGCGCACCGTCCTTTGCGTTTCCCAAATAGTA